ATGATGCGCCGTGTGATGTGTGTGTTGGCCGTTGTGCTGTGCTGCGCCAGCGGGTATACCATGACGGCTGCTGCTGGTGATATTTTATTGGAAGATTTTCTTAATGATACAAGCAATAAGTATAAGAAGTGCAAGGATGCCCCCAATCATACAGTTGATGGAATAAACTGCAAGGAATTTGAATTCGCTCCGAAGGCTGAAAAAACACCTCAAACACCGCCTCCCACGAGAGATGAAGGGGAGACACGTACCACCATTGGAGGAAGTGGTGATGACACTGAACCGCAAGCTGCAGATGGAATTGATCGACAAGGCCAACAACAAGGATCGAATCCAACAAGAAGAGAAAACGATGCGGGAGAACGTGAACCGGAACCAACAGAATCATCGAAAAGACCTCGTAACGTTGAGGTGCCTCAAGGTGAACAAGGAGCATCGAGCAGCACAGATGATAACAGTACAGCTGGCAACTCTAATGCTACCCAGCAATCTCCTGCAGCTGTTAATACGACTGCCGCACCAAACTCACAAGAAACAAATTCCACTACTCCACAGAGTCCCGAGAACAATGTCAGTGATGTACCACCCACCACTCCATCTCATGTTCCTGTACCCAACCCACAGATCAGCAGCAACATCACTTCCACTGTACAGAACAAGGCTAATGTTGATAGCAGTATGAGTTCTGTGTGGGTACGTGTGCCGCTACTGATTGTGGCTGTGTTGTTCTCCGCTACTGTGTACTGAACAGTTGGAATCATCTGAGGACAAATAATAATAATGGTTATACTAACATAATCATAATTGCGTACATTCCCCATGGGTGAATTAATTAATAATCTGTTTACCAGCTTTCTCTTTTTAATTGGAATTTCTTTTTCTTTTGTGTGTGTGTGTTCATTTTCTGATAATTCCATTATTTGCTTTTTCCGTTGTGTGTGTTTGCAGAAAGCTGGGCTGTTCTGCTCACTGACGGTATACATATCTTGCTAGTACACCCAGATGTGTGTGTGGAGTAATTTAATATACATAAACTAGAGCCATGGAGTATTGTGTGTGTTTGGCTCTCTCTATTATTTGGGTATTGTGTGTGGTCTTCTCTTTTTCTTTCTACTAATGGATACACATTATTATCATTACAAGCGGGATATTCCTTTTTTTTGCTTTACTGTGTAGTTGTTGCTTCTCTCTCTATTCCACTGTGAGTATTTGTTGTACTGGTGTATATATGTCTTTGCTTCAATCATTATTATTTCAATGTGTTTCTCTTTTTTGCTTCAGTCTATTGAAGTAAAACAACAGCAATGACAAAGGCTGTAATGGTGAGGTGTTACCTGCTCTGTTTATTAACTCTTGCACTGTGTTGTGCTTGTGGGTTAGTATGGGCTGATACTCCTAAAGATTCAAATGCCCTTATTAAAACTTCTACTATTGGTGTTCCTTCTCTTGTTCGTCGTGCCATTCCTGCGCTTTTTTTATGTTTGGGTGATGATGATGAGGATGATGTTGATTGTCATTGTGTGAATGAAGAAGAGAAGAATGATAAAGGACATGGCTTTGCGCATGGAGATGGTGCTGCTGGTTCGAATTCATCCTTGGACAACAATTCCAGTATTCCTGGTGGTCCAGATAGTGGTTCAGACCCAAAGCAGGTAGGTGGTGAAATTCAACGAGAATTGGAAAGTGAAAACGCAGGTAAATTAATAGGCACAAAAGGTGAACACGATCCGGATTCTGCACCGCCTCCTGCCATTTCAGATAACCTAGCCCAAAGTGCTGGCAGTTTGAATGGTTTGGATTCCCAAGTTAACAAGGGCGATAATGGTAAGAAACGAAGTGATAGTGATAGGAAGGAATTATCACAAACAAGTGTCATCAATCCTATACAGGGTGAAAATGCACAAGAGGAACTAAAGAAAAACTCTGAAGTAACACCTGTTGCTCAATCTCCCAGTGATCCCAATGGAAATTCTGAAGTTCCACAGACTCCCAGTCCGCAGGCACAGGAAATATCGTCAGTCAACACACAAGGGAGTCAGGAAAAGGAGCACAACGCTCAGAGTGATACTGCTAACACTGACAATTCCACTCTACCAAGTAATGAGGAATCACCCTCATCCACCACTACAACAACAACACTTCCTCCTGAACTCACAAACAACAAGAAGGGTGATGCAGACAGCAGCAGCAGTATCAGCAGTTCTGTGTGGGTGCGTGTACCACTACTGATTGTGGTTACACTGGCCTGTATTCTTGTGTGCTGATTGTGTAGTGTGGTGGTGTGACTCAGGTTATCCTTTGTTTTCTTTTCTTTTTTTTGCACACATCCCTACAGTCTAACGAATCTTTCACCTGTTGGGATTTCTTTTGCTTTATTTTACTGTTTTTTGTTTGTTTTTTTTTTGCTCTCTCTGTGTGTGTTTATCCTATAATTATTATTATTGCTACTCCATTGTGTGTGTGTTTGTGTTATTGGAGACTCTCTGTGTGTGCAGCTGGGCTTGCACTGTGATAATGATAATGATGAACTGTTTTTTGCAGTGAGAAAAAAAAGAAATAATAATAACAGATGAATTTATATTCATATTTCCGTATATACATATATAGACATACACCCATAGTTGGTGTATATTTCTGTGTTTACTGTGGAAGTTGAGCTTATTGATAATATATGTTTTTTTTTACTTTTGTTTTGCTGGCATGTTTTCGTCTTTGTACTAGAAGTATTGATAATCGTATTTGTGCCGAGATAAAACATTATAACAGATATACGTTCGTATTCGTAATTGCTTATTGAAGCTATAATAACTCGCTCTTAGCAGATGTGATTGTTTGATAGGTAGCTTTTCAGGAGCTTAACTGCTTTTCCTTTGTTTTCTTTGTTGCTGTTTATTTTGCACTTTATTATATTGTTAGTTCTTTTTTGATTGACTCGTGTTTTTTTTATATGCTCCTTAGCTGTTATTCTTTGTCATTTGTAGTCTGACGTTTTCTCTTTGCTCACATTTCCGTTTTTGTTCTATAACCATTTTATGTGAAAAATGAAGAATAACTCCTATTTTTGATGATGATGCGATCCGTGTTGTGTTTTCTGACATTTCTTTTAAGCGTTTCCTGTGTCTATGTGTCGGCGGAAGAAGCTCGTGGTTCTCACATGTCTCCCACTGAGGCTGAAGATCCTGAAGGTGCATGTAAAGACTCCCAAAAAAATGATGGATCTTGCGCATCTAGAGTATCGGCTGCTCCTTCAACTGGTATGTCTCCTGCTACACCTCCCAAAGCTCCTCAGCAGCTTGGACTGGGTGCTTCATCTGGTCCTGTAGGTGCGGCTCCCACTGGTCCGGGTACAGCCATTACCACGACGAGAGGTGACACTGCAGCACTTCCAGACGGACAGACTTCAAATCGTGGTCTGAAGAACGCAGACGACAGGGAAGCAGGTCCTCGTGAAAACAACCCACAGCCAGGACTATCATCATCGTTATCTCCTGATCAGCAGCCACATGATGGTTCAACTATGAGTGGCTCTGAGGGTCAAATGAGAACGAATGTTGGAACTTCACAAGACTCTCAAGAAGAAAACCGCAACACAGAAATGGATACTGGAAGCACAGGATCCCAGAGAACTGATGACTCCACGCAAAATCCTACTGCAGATGCACCACCAGCAGAAATAACCCCATCTGATTCACCCTCTGGTGATTCAAACACATTAAATAACACGGGCACAGAGTCTAACAGTACCACTGATACCGTGACAACTTTAGAAGGGAGTGAAGAAACAAATGACGATACTACGAATGCTGTGAGTGAATCAACCACCACCACAACAACAACAACACTTCCTCCTGAACTCACAAACAACAAGAAGGGTGATGCAGACAGCAGCAGCAGTATCAGCAGTTCTGTGTGGGTGCGTGTACCACTACTGATTGTGGTTACACTGGCCTGTATTCTTGTGTGCTGAATGTAATAGTGGTGGTGTGACTCAGGTCATCCTTTGTTTTCTTTTTCTTTTGCATACATCCCTACAGTCTAACTAATCTTCCACCTGTTGGGGATTTCTCTTCTTTTTTTGTTTCTTAATGTTAATGTGTGTGTTTTTGCTCTCTGTGTGTTTATCCTATAATAATAATTATTATTGCTACTCCATTGTGTGTGTGTGTGTTCTTGGAGACTCTCTCTCTGTGTGTGCCTGGGCTTGCACTATAATGATGATGAACTGCATTTTTGTAGTGGGAAAAAGGAAATAATAATAACAAATGAATTTATATTTATAATTGCTTGTATATACACACATATAGACTTACACCCATAGTTGGTGTATTTCTTTGTGTTTACTGTGGAAGTTGGGCTAATGGTTAATATCTGTTTTGTTTGCTTCTTGGTTTT